GGAACCAGGGATTGAACTCAGGCCCTTGTGCTTGCCAGGGAAGCGCTTATTCTACTGAGCCATCTCCCCAGCCCTGGAATGTCTTTTTTGTTTGTTTGGTTTTTTTTGCAGTACTGGGGATCAAACTCAGGACCTTGTTCTTGCCACACAGGCGCTTATGCCTGCTGAGCTGTACCGCCAGCCCACTCTTCCCTTTCTGCTTAAGCAAACTGTCCGTACAGGTTTGCCTCAGATCCACTTCTTCCATGAGCTGTTCCTGACCAGTGCATTCCTCCCAGTTCTTATCTTTCTTTGAAGTCCTGATTTATTTTTTTTTTTTTTTAAGGTGGGGTTTCACTACATGCTTCAGCTCAGCCTTCAATTTATGTAGCCCAGGCTGGCTTTGAACTCACAGAGACCCTGCTGCCTCAGTCTTCTGAGTGCTGGGATCACAGGCATGCACCATCACACCTGGCAAGGCCCTGGAATTTTTAAACATGTCAGCCGTCAGGAAATTAATCACACTCCTCCTTGGGACCACTCTTGTACTGTCACCTCAAAGAGTTGGTGAAATCTTGCTCCTGTCTCAGTTTTCCCTGCACACTTTCATCTCTTCCATCTGGTCTAATACAGTTCCCTGCGTAAAAACACAGTCAGTCTTTTCTATTCAACAGTGTCCATATTGTGCCTTTTCCAGAGCAGGCCTTGACCATGTTTGTCAGTTTCTTTCCAGTATTGGTAGTTTATAAAGCAAGTATTCTTTACCCAAAATGCTTTAGACCGGAAGTGTTTGGGATGTCAAAGTTTGGAATATTTGTATATACACAATGAGATCCTGGGGACAGGATCTATCCAAATATGAGCTCTACTTAGCCTTCACATACTCCCCAATACACATAGCCTGAAGGTTATTTATTTTATGCATTTACTTTTTCTTTTAGAGACAAGGTTTTATTGTGTAGCCCAGGCTGGTCTTGAACTCATGATCCTCTTGTTTCAGTCTCCTGAGTGCTGAAATTGCAGGTGTGCACCACCTTGCCTGAGTTTTGAAGGTAAAACAAAGCCTGTAAACAATGAACCATCCTTTCACAACTCAAAGGGTTTTTCCAGTTTGGATTAGAGATTTGAGAACCTGTAATAAGATTTTCAGATTCTACACTAAATTTTAATTCAGTATCTTCCCCAGCCCTTTAAAAATCTCAGCTCACGGGGCAGGGGAGATAGCTCAGTGGAATAAGTGCTTGGGTGGCAAGCACAAGGTCCTGAGTTTGATCCCTGGTATAACAAAAAAAAGAAAAAAAATCTCAGCTCATCTCTGGCAGCTCTCCTGCTGGGAGGTTGCTGGCAGAAACCGTAGTGTTGGTAAGGAAAAGCGCTTACCTTGTAGGTCTTGGAGCCCATTGCCCATCTGCTCTAAGTTTCCATTCACCAATGCAGTCACTCTGTGAATGTGGCCATACTTCTTCGTTTCTTTTGGCAATTCCTCTCTCTCGGCCTCTTCTTCCTCCTCTTCCACCTCTTCTGCCGCATGCTCCTGTTCATTTTCCTCTTCCTCTTCTGAATCCACCAAAACCATGACATCACCCATGTCTTGTCCCCTAATTTCCAAAGGAGGGAAAATAACCAAGATGTCATTTCCCCCCATATCACCCCTCACTGAACAGGCAACACTGTATTCTTTGCAGCCCTGTTGGTACTATGGAAAATGCACCATGCATTCACTGTAGTCAAGTCATGAGATGACAGTGAGAGATACAGCCACAGAGTACTAGAAACAATACCATCTTATGCCAGATATGCTGTTATCCTGTCCTTGTTCCTTGGGCAAGTGGCCCTGCTGTCTTAGGCATCTGTCATTCCAGTTCCCCCCACTATATCTATATCTGTATCTACATCATATATATGGTGTGTTCTTTCTTGAAATGACATTATTTTTGTTCCACTTAAGGAGGTCTCACCCACTCCTCATTATTTAAGACCCAGGTAAAGTCCCCTCCTCCTAAAGCTTTGAACCCACACTGGCACCTGGAGTCCAGGCCCAGTGAATTTGCATTGAATTGCCTTGTAATTTATTGCTAGCTTTGCCTACCTAGCCAGGGTATACATTTCTTAGGGAACAAAGAAGGTGTTCCATGGCCCAGCCACAGTCTTAGGAGAGTTACAGTCTCACTTCATCCTACCAACGTCCCAGTGTGAAGGAGGTGAGGGCATGAGGGTGAGAGGGGCAGGAATGTCCCAAAGGCACAGGACATGGAAATGGCACAGAGGTCCTTTGGACCCAGGTTCCCTGATTCTAAAGGATTTCCCCACAGTACCACACACTACGATCTCCTGTGTGAAATGCTGTACTTCACTCAATCACAGGGTATCCGACTTCAAACACAAGGCAATAAAGGGACAGTCTCATGCAAAATGGTCCCAAAACAAAAACATCCCACCCGTAGGAATGAGTAAAGAAGAATTACTTGTCCCTCAGGAAGAAGAGAGTTGAGTTCTTTGCTCTCATGGAGAAGCTCCGTAGGAAATGAAATACAAAAATTCCACTGGGCTACTCTGCCCTTGCTGGGGTTTCCTGTGGAGGTGGGGAGTTCTGGGCATGATCAGACTAGCCTTCTAAAACATTCTGTATGACTATGAATTATTCTTCCTTTGGCTGTTTTTAGAAAATTCAATAAAACAAATGCATGAGTGACTGGGTTCAATATGTACACATCGTCTTCATGTTTCAGTGATGGGCTCATAGCCTGCCCAGCCCTGGGGTTTGGCATCGTAAAAGAACACAGACTTTGGACTCAGTCAGAATGGGGTCAAAAGGCAGAATTGCATCTACTTCCGGAATGAACTTGCAAAAATTGCTTTGCTGAGCCTCCATCTCTGGAAATGGCACCCTGATGAGGTTATGCAGGGTTTACAAGAATGCCTCAAAAGCCCCTGCCCCCCACCAAAAAAAAAATGAGAGGCCAGGGAGATAGCTCAGTAGAATAAGCGCTTCCCTGGCAAGTGCAAGGGCCTGAGTTCAATCACGGGTTCCACAAAAACAATCAGTCAATCAGTCAGTACCATCAATGTTCATGTATAGGCATTAAAAATTAATCAACGAAGTGGAAACATAGTAAACGCTTCCCTGGCAAGTGCAAAGACCTGAGTTCAATCCCTGGTTCCGGAAAAAAAAAAAAAAAAAAAAGCGGGGGAGATCCCTGCCCCAGTATCAGGCAATGGTGGGGACAGGCAGCCTAACAGCAGTGAAGATAAATTACGAAAATAGGTTTTCTTTTATTTAAATCTAGGAAACACTTACCTGAAAGTGCTTCTTACTACAAAGAGAAAGAAAAAGAAAAATTAATATCCAGCAACACCACTAAAAATCTCACAAAATTCCACCCCCCCAACACAGTAATGGGGAGCAAATCCAGTAGTGTTCTACCACTGAGCTTCTTCCCCAGCCCTTTTTTTTTTTTTCCCCTTCCTTTTTTTTGCAGAACCAGTGATTGAACTCAGGCCCTTGTCACTGCCAGGGAAGCACTTATTCTACTGAGCCATCTCCCCGGCCTTCCCAGCCCTTTTTAAATGTTTTAAGTTTGAGACAGTGTTTTTGTAAGTCGCCCAGGCTAAGCTTAAAACTTGAGATCCTCTTGCCTCACTCTCCCAAGTATTCTAGTATTACAGGTATGCATCACCATGCTGAGCACAGGCTAACTTTGAACTCACTACGTAGCCCAGGCTGGCCTCAAACTTGTGGCGATCCTCCAGCCTCAGCCTCCCGAGTGTTGGGATTTCAATTGCGCACCACCACACCCGGCTCTTTTTCCATGTTCTGACTGAATGAAGATTCTATAGGATAGGACTGCATGGCAGGAATGAATATAGCAGTGGCCTCACGCCCCACCCACACCTTTCTAAGAAACCTGAAAGAAAAACAGGGACCCAAGAAGCCCTCACCTTTCCAGCAGAACACAGGACTATAATACAACACAAGCCCTGAGATAATGGCCAGTCCCAACAGCAGGAGGCTGACGATGGTTCCTACAATGCCACCAATGTTCACAGGCTCTGTAATGACAAATCACATCACCGAGTCTTCCATGTAACACATGCACAACTAGGAGGGCAAGCTCCCCCTTGAGGTCCAGTTCTCGGCTTATGAGTTTAAGCATAACCTAGAAGTTTTCCATAATGCAAGTAAGCACAATGTAACTCATTTTATCACTTTGGCAAGTTTGTGGGGATCAAATAAAGCTTCTGATGTGAAAGACCCTGGAAAATTCCAGTCTCTGCACTGAGTAGGGGAGGTAGCTGAGTAGTAGAGAGATTGTCTTGTATCTGTGATGCCCAGGGATCAATCCCCACCACAAGACAAAATAGCCCTCCAGACTGGCTTCTGTAGCTGTTGTTGTTCTATTCTATTTTGTTTGTTTTTTTATTTATTTATTTTTTAAAACCATCTTGTCACGTTCTTCAAATTGGACCTGATCTCACCGTGTACCCCAAGTTGACTTTATACTTGGAATCCTCCTGCATCAGTAGTCTCTCCAGTGGGTGGGGGTTACAGTCACACACCATCACACCCAGATTCAAGACTGTTTGGTTTTTGCCTCTTGACTTACTGCAGGTTGAATCTAGTCTTTGCTTCTTTTTTGTTTTCTTTTTAAGCAGGACAGGGTCTCATGACGTCACTAAATTGCCCAGGCTGGGCTTAAAGTTAGGATCCTCCTGCCTCAGCCCCACAGGGTGCTAGGATTACAGGCATATGCTACCACACCCAAGACCATGGTAAGAATGTGTCAGCAGTGTCATGGTAGAAAGAGGATTAATAGGACAAATACAATGCATGCAGGCTCTCATGGGTAAGAAACTTGATACAGGACAGGTTAGTGAGTGAAGGAAATATCATTTGAAAAATGGTCCTGGAGGACAAAATAATTGGGGCCAGGGAGATGGCTCAGTAGAATAATTGCTTCCCTGGCAAGCGCAAGGGTTTGAGTTCAATCTCTGGTTCCGCCAAAAAGGAAAAAAAAAAAAAAAAAAAGAATAATACTTTACCGTACCTCTTATCATTTATAAAAATCAATTCTATGTTAATAAAAGACAACTACCAAAGTCAAAATACTGAAAGTGTTAGGAGACAGTATCTATGACTCTGGAATAGGAAAACTTTTGTTGTTACTGTCAGCTGGTTGGTTTGAGGCAGGGTGTCACTATACAGTTCAGGCGGCCTCCTCAGATCGCTGAGTAGATGTTCTCATTTTAATGTAGTTGATTTTTTGAGGCATTTTTTTTTTATATCACTAGCAATTCCTTTTGTGGCACTAGGGACTGAACTCAGGATTTTTGTACTGAGTTAGAACTATACCCCTAGCCCTTTTGTTTTGCTTTGTTGTTTGAGGTAGGGTCCTGCTAAACTGCCCAGGTGGAATTTGAGCTTGTGATGCTCTTACCTTGGGCTCCCAAATGCTGGATTCTAAGTATGTGACACCACATTCTGCTATCAGTAGTGACTTTTATTTTAGGAAATCAAAGCAGAAAAGACAACAAACTAATAGGGAGCCATACTTATGACATGTAAACACGAACAAGGAATTAGTATGAGGAATTTCTAAAGAATTCTTAGACCTCTACTGAAAAGCAGAAAATGTCAGACAAAAATATATATTTCCCAAAAGGAAAAAAAACAAATACTAAATAAACCTAAGAATGGTGGGGCTAGAGAGATAGCTCAGCAGCTCAGCAGCATAACTGCCTGCCTGGCAAGCACAAGGTCCAGACTTTGATCCCCAGTACCACACACATACTACACACACACACACACACACACACACACACACACACACAGTGGTGTTCAAACCAGGTGTGGTGGTGCATATCTGTACTTGAGAGGCTGAGGCAGAAAGACTGCCATAAGTTTGAGGCCATCCTGGGCTACATAGGTGAGCTCAAGGCCAGCCTGTACTGCATAGTAAAACCCTGTCTCAAAAAAAAAAAAAAAAATGTTCAAAACCATGCCAGCAATCAAACTCAACTTAGAACTAGATTAATTTTTGGTTTTTTGTTTGTTTTGAGACAAAGTCTTGCTATGTGTTCAGGCTGGCCTTGAACTTACTACGTAGAACAGGCTGGCTTCAAATTCACTGTGATCTTCCTGCCTCAACCTCCTAAATGTTGGGATTATAGGCATGGGCTACCACACCAGCATAGAACCACACTAAGTTCCTTTCTTCACATACTAGATGGGCAAAATTAGAAAGCCTTCTGGCAAAATGTGGCAAAAATAAATCACCACTCATATATTGTCCAGAATAAAAATAATTTAGTATTATCTCATCAAGATTAAAATGCAGGGGCCACAGAGATGGCTCAGTGGAATAAGGACTTCCCTGGCAAGTGCAAGGGCCTGAGTTCAATCCCTGGTTCTGCCAAAAAAAAAAAGATTAAAATGCACATGCTTCATAATCCTTGTACATATGCTAGAGATAGATTTGTCTGGGTACCTGGTACACACATACATAAGCAGCTGAGTAAAAGATGTCCACAGCAATGCTGTGTCTCATAACAACAACAACAACAACAACAACAACAACAACAACAACAACAACGAGAAACAACACAAACATCCATGAGCAGGAAAATGAATAACCTAATTGTGGAAAGATGACACATTGGAGAACTACACAGCAGTAAAGAGGGATGCGGTATAATGACAACCATCGGCATCAATAAATCCAAGAAACAAAACATGGAGTGAAACAGGTAAGTCACGAAACACTGTGTACGTGGGTAACAATTTTCTTTTTCAGAAAAATTAGAGGAGTTTTAGGTTCATAACAAACTTGAGCAGAAAGCAGAGGTCCTGTGTCTCCCCCAGCACATGGCCGGCCACCCTCATGGCCGGTACCTTTGTCACCATCAGGTAACCTACACCAACACATCACAGTTCACAGCAGAGGCCATCGTTGGCATTCTGCGTTCTGTAGGTTTAGACAAATAGACAGTGATGGGCAAGTGTCCATGACACAGAAGGTGTCCACAACCCTGAAAATCTTCCTTGCTCTTTTCAACTTCCTTATCCTCCACAATGCCTGGCACCCACTGATCTACCTCCATGGTTTCACATGATGTGCAGCCATGGTGACTGGAAATACATAGAAATTAATTATTATATAGGAGTATACACTATTATCATTCAGGTCTTTGTATTTCAATCAGATTTTTACTGGTACATTTTAAGTATATACAATGATCACATTCAGCATAGTGCATTAGATCTTTTTTTTTTTTGGTGGAGCTGGAGATTGAACACAGGCCCTTGCGATTGCCAGGGAAGCATTTATTCTACTGAGCCATCTCCCCGGCCCATTGCATTAGATCTTAAATGCACCTAAAAGTTCAAGTGTTGAAGACTTGGTTCCCAGGTGACTAGAAGGCAGTGGAAACATTAGGAGGTAAGGCCAAATATAAATCAAGGACCATTTTGTATCTGTATATACAAAATAGTTAAGATATGCAGCTACTTTCTCTTAATTCAATGAGAAGAAAGATTTATACCAATAGTGTTTGAACAGGATATCATGTCTGCATCTTATACCATGAATAACTACTACGAAGACAACAATATGCAATGTATTAATTATTGTAACTGTCCTACTAACCTGTTTTGAAACTGTCTCTTTGCTATTTGTTTCTCAATTTAGAAAACAAGGAGGTAAGGCCTAGCTAGAGGAAGTGAGGTCATAGGGTGCGTGCCCTGAAAGGTCATGTCAGGAGTCAGCCCCTTCTTCTCATTGCTGTGTGGCCATTATGCTATCGGCAGCTTTGCCTCACCAAAGGCTTCTTGCCATCTATGTTCACCAATGGCCCAAAGACAGACCTCATGATTACAAGCTGAAACCTCTGACGCCATACACCTTTCCTTCTTTAACTTATATATCTCAAGTAGTTTGTCACAGTAACGGAGAGTTGTCTACGCAGGCATTTACACAGTGAAGTCTTTTTAAAAAATAAAATAAAACAAGAAACTCTGGGTAGTAGTTACGTTTTTTTGTTTTTTTGTTTTTTTGTTTTTTTTTTTTTTTTTTTTAGCCGTACTGGGGATTGAACTCAGGACCCAGCACTTGCCAGGCAAGCATTTATTCTACTGAGCTATCTCCCCAGGTCCAAAAGGGTTTTTGTTTTGGTCTTTTTTAAGTAGTTACCTTTGGTGAGAGGACCAGGAGGAGACTGGGAAGGAGATTTCATGTACAATTGGAGGTGAAATATGCGATTCCTGATGAAATTGGGATTTCAGAGGAATAATAATTTTTTTAGCATATGTATGTTGTATACACTATTTGGGACATAGCGATACTTCTAAAAAAATCTTTATCTATATCTGGCTACACTACACTCAGGTCACTTCATCAGTCTCAGCACTGCCTGCATCTTCAGCAGCACATTATTCTTTTGGGTGTGTATTGTACTATTTGTGTGTCCCAACTCATTGACGCTACACATATATTTTTCAGTGTGTAAGATACACTATATCATTTTTTTGTCTCCCATGCAAATGTTAGCGCTTTCAGGATTGGAGAGTACTGTTTTCTAGATACCCTGTTGAGCCACAGATAAGCACACTTGTAATCTACCAGTTGGCAAAGGTCGGTGTGGGGCACCAGGCCATCCCCACACTGCTGCCAGGGCCCCTGAAGCTCTCAGCCCTCCTCCGTTCCCTCACTCACCTTTCACATCCAGCCAGATGTCCACTTTTCTCACCCCCACGGGGTTCTCAGCCCGGCAGACATAATAGCCTTCGTCCAGGTCCTGGGAGCAGTTGCGAATTGTGAGGGTAGAGTTCTGGCCATCCTGGGCAATGACGTAGTGGCTGTTGGGCTGGATGACCACTTCGGGCTGGCTCAGGTTCCTCAGCCACTGGATCTTGGCAGGGGGGTTGGCTTCAGATACCTGGCAGGTGAGCGTCACGTTGCCCCCTACAAAGCAAGTCTTCATGGGCTCAGAGAAAGGGAAGGGGGTCCCTGGTGAACAGAAGAAGGTTAAAAAAATGTTTAGGGAAATACAAACCATGGCCTGAGATCTTTAAGAATATGATTTCCTTCCTGGCAAAGCAACTCCAAGAATTTCTGTACTATAGCTGGTCCTACAGAATAAATGCTATCCCTTATTGAACATGTACTATGTGCTGGGTCTTTTACTGTACTAACCCAACTCACTCTCACAACAACCCTGTGGGTATCCTCATTTACAGAGAGAAAATTGAGGCACAGAGGAACTTAAGCAACTTGCTCAAAGTCACACAACCAAGCAAGGTATGTAGCTAGACTTAGAGTAAACACCTGTCCCACTTTACCCAAGTTCGAACACTCCCCGAGATGTGGAGCTTCTCAGGACTAAAGCCAGGAAAATTCAGACCAAAGTAGAATAAACAGGTTTTTCAGGGTAAAAGAGAACTCCATCACTCAGACCTTATAACCCATAATCTTACATCTATGCTACTAGCATCATTAGAAATAACCACACTGATTATGGACACATTGTCCAGCAAGGTGTTCCAGGGGACAGCAGGGCATCTACGTTGGCTCCCTACTGCTGTGACAAATTACTATACACTTAGTGACTTAAGACAATAAATGTATGCACCTATGTTCCAGAGGTCAGGAGTGAGAATGATCTTCCAGGACTAAACTCAAGCCCTGGCTGGGCTGGTTCCCTCTGGACGCTCTGGGGGTCTGATTAGAGCAGAACACAGATAGCTACGAAGGCCACCGCTGCATGAGACGCCTTTCCTCAAAATGTACACCCTCTGAGCAGGGTAGTAGATTCATCTGGGGGGATTTATGGAGTATATACTTCAGCATCTGAGGGACACAGTGGCTAACAGTTCCTTCCTGGGACAGTGAAACCTGCTCTGCCTGGTAGCTGTTCCAAAGGAGAATCTAGGTTTTCACAGGTGGCATTTTGGGAAGAGGAAAAGAAGTCAGGCTGAGGAGACAGGAATAGGCTCTCTCTCTCTCTCTCTCTCTCTCTCTCTCTCTCTCTCTCTCCCACCCTCCCTCCCCTCCCCCCTTCCTTCTCTCTGTCTCTCTTTTTTTTAATTCATTTTATTGAGAAACAAATAGCAATGAGATACCTGTTCCTTATTATGCCTAAGATGTTTGAAATGCAGTGAGATAGTGAGGTTAAGCTTGATAGCCTAAATGGTTTGATAATAACAATAAGCTTTTCTTCTGGATGGTTAACAACCTAAATTTGCAGACCAAAATTAGAGAAAAAG